CCCCTGACCATCATAGGTCTGATGCTAATTAGCACAGCAAAGAGACTTTTGAACAGTGCTAATAGATAGACTTCTGCTCAGGTCTATGAGTAACTACTGGGAGATACACATATAAAAACCAAACTGACTTTGGAGCACAGCACAGGAGGAGGTTTGGAACTTGCAGCCTACACCTAGATATGGCAAACACTTGCTAAAATAAATATTGACATTCTCAGCCTGCAGTCCAGAGGGACCCGGGTTCGGTTCCCGCTAAGGGCACGTGCCTCGGTTGCAGTTTGTCCCCGGCCCTGGTTGGTCGTGTGGGTGGCAGCCATTCGATGTGTCCCTTTCACGTCGATGTTTCTCTCTCTCTCTCTGTTCCTCGCTCTCCCTCCCACTCTACCTGAACAAAAAAAAATGGAAAAATGTCCTCGGGTGAGGATTAAAAATAAATAAATAAATAAATAAATAAATAAATAAATATTGACATTCTGCATAAGATTTAAATAAGAATTAGAATCTCATTATATTCTAAATTCCCAGATACATCCCAAAATTACTAGGCATATGAAGTATCCCATAATCTCAACTTGCCTAGGAAAAGAACACTGACAGTCACCAATGACAAGATGATGCAGATGTTGGGATTATCTGACAAGGATATTAAAAGTTATTATAAAAATGTTCAAAACAATCAAAAGAGAAGTTAAAACATGCTCAAAACAAAAGCTAAAATACAAAGCACTAGTAAAGAAATATAAGATATTAAGAATCAAACATTAAAAAAATTTTTTTTTCTTTATTGATTTTAGAGAGAGAGGAAGGGAAAGGGAGAGAATGATAGAAACACTGATGAGAGAGAACATTGATTGGCAGCCTCCTGCATGCCCCACACTGGGGATTTGGCCCACAACCTGAGCATGTGTCCTGACCAGGAAGCAAACCGGCAACTTCTTGATGCATGGGTCGATGCTCAACCACTGAGCCACACCAGTCGGGCAGAAGAATCAAATATTTTAAAACCAAAAATATGATAATCAAAACAAAAAACTCACTGAAAGATCCAGTAGCAGAATGAAGATGACAGTCAGAGAACTTGAAGACAGATTTTTTTTATTAATTTATTTTTGTTACAGATGTTTCTCCTTTTTTTCCCCATTGACACCCTCCTCCCCATCCCCCCCACTCCATCCCCAGCTTTGTTGTCCGTGTCCATTGGTTACGCGTACATGCATATAAATTCTATGGTTTATCTCTTCCCTCCCTCCACCACCCTCTCTTCCAAGGGTAGGACAGATTAATAGAAATGAGCCAATCTAACCAACAGAGAGAAAAAGACAGGGGGTTAGGGGGTGGAGGATGAACAAGCCCTGGCAGTGTAAGTCAATTGGTTAGAGTGTCATCCCAATATAATAATGTTGCATGTTCGATGCCTGGTCAGAGCACATACAAATAGCAACCAATGAATGTGTAAACAAGTGGAACAACAAATCATATTTCCTTCTCTCTCCCTCTCTCTAAAATCAAATAAAAATAAAAAAATAAAGAATAGAACCTCCATCACCTTTGGGACAAGAACAAAAGGTCTAACATTCTGTCATCAGAGTACACCAAGAGAGAGTGAAAAAAATACATATTTGATGAAATAATGGCTAAAAATGTCCCAAGTTTTGTGAAAACACAACTCTACAGATTCAAGAAGTTGAGCAAACAGGATAAATCCAAAGATACTCATGTCCAGACACATCAAAATCAAGTTCATGAAAACTAAAGACAAACTAAAAATTTTGAGAGCAGCCAGAGAAAAATGATGCCTAACCTATCAGTGAACAAACATCTTAATTACAGTAGACTTCTCATTGGAAACCACACACATTGGAGGAACTGGCAAAACATTTTTCAAGAAAAGAATTGTTAAGCCAGAATTCTATATCCAGTGAAAATATCCTTCAGGAATGAAGATGAAATAAAACCATTCTCGGATGAAAGAAAACTAAGAGATTTTCAACCAGTAGATATACTTTAAGAGAATTACTAGAAGAGCCCTGGCCGGTTTGGCTCAGCAGTTAGAGCATCGGCCTGTGGTCCAGAGAGACCCGGGTTCGGTTCCCACCAAGGGCACGTACCTCGGTTGCAGTTTGTCCCCGGCCCTGGTTTGGTTATGTGGGTGGCAACCACTCGATGTGTCCCTTTCATGTCAATGTTTCTCTCTCTCGCTCTCCCTCCCACTCTACCTGAACAAAAAATGGAAAAATGTCCTCAGGTGAGGATAAAAAAAAAATTACTAGAAGAAATTTCTTCACATAAAAGGGAAATGATACTAGAAGGGAATCTGGAACATCATGACTGAAAGAAGATTAGCAGAAATGGTTAAGTATCTGGGTAAATATGAAAGACTACTTACTTCTTGAGTTCTTTAAAAAAATGTTTGATGGTGAAATGCAAAAAGTATAAAATTATCTGATAGGTTTCAATGTATGTGCATATCACAGATGGGTCATTTGGAAAATACTGGTTTGTTGAGTTATGCATATCTCCTAATTGTTGATATATTTAATTATACAATACCAAAAAGTGGCACTCAATATCATCACCTTGATTTAATTAGAAAGGTCTATAGGTATTAAGAAGCTGTCAAACGCACTGTGGTAGATTAAAATTTTCACTTGAAAGCTCAAATTTTATCATTGGCAAAACACTCAGTTGTTGCTTGTTTTCCTTTATGTGATAAACTCACTTCATTCATTTTGAGAAAAATGTATGCCAGCCATTCAAAGTATGAATAACCAGTTTACTGTTGTTCTTTCAAGTAAAAATGGCATTCCATGAAAAGTGACCACATTTTAATTGTTAGTCCAATGCAAGTTGCCCATTAGGAGGACATGGTCTTCATTAGGAGTATCAAAACTTAAAATCATTATACATTTATACCTTTTTTTTTTTTTTTTTTATCCTCACCCGAGGACATTTCGAGGACATTTTTCCATTTTTTGTTCAGGTAGAGTGGGAGGGGGAGAGAGGAGGAGAGAGAGAGAAACGTCGACGTGAAAGGGACACATTGAGTGGCTACCACCCAGACAACCAACCAGAGCCGGGGAAAAACTGCAACTGAGGTACATGCCCTTAGCGGGAACTGAACCTGGGTCTCTCTGGACCGCAGGCCAACACTCTAACCACTGAGCCAAACTGGCCAGGGCAAAATCATTATACATTTAAATCAAGGAGACTTCTCATCTGATTCCATGCTTACTAGGCAACTTTTTGATAAAGGAATTGCCACCTGGTTAATCTTAAGGCAGAGAATGCCAAGTGGCCAAGCTGTTGTAACTATCTGTTTGGTCCGCTTCAATTATATTTCTCAATGTAAATTGGTAAACTGCCACTAAGGTTTTTATTAAATGGTCTCTATGAGCTTTCAGTCAGCAGATCTGAATCCAATCAATTTGGGGACACTGGTAAAATGCTGTCTTATGAAAACTTCCCTATACAGTTTATGTACCTTTTGAAACCTTTGAAATTGTCTATATAGGGATAATACTTTATGCCAATTTCAATATAAAGTCAGAGATTATTGGAGTCTAAAAACAACAAAACTAACATATAAAATATTAAAAATAAAATGCCACATTTTCTCCAGAAAGTATCAGAATATTTTTTCTGAATTCTTGAGATTTCTCTACTCTATATAATTTCTTTAGTTGTAGTTTACTGCTTTGAACATTGAACAAAAGTTATTTACTGATAAAGTGAGATTTAATTAGGTAAATGTAGAGAACTAGCTTGTTTAACACTCCAGTTTATTCCTAGCATGTATTCCTGAACTGTAGAGGCTGGAAAGCTATGCACTACATTTCCCAGATTCCTCTGCAGCTAACAGTTTTAGATGTCGTCCAGCTGGTGTGGCTCAGTGGTTGAGTGTCGAACCATGCACCAAGAGGTTGCCAGTTCAATTCCTGGTCAGGATACATGCCCAGGTTATGGGCCCAGTCCTCAGTGTGGGGCATGCAGGAGGCGGCCAATAGATGGTTCTCTCTCATCGATGTTTCTATCTCTTTCTCCCTCTCTCTTTCAAATAAATAAAGGAAAAAAAAAAAAGAGTTTTAGATGTCATTTAGGTTGATTCCTGGCCAAGGGCACATACCTGGGTTGCAGGTTTGATTCCTGACCCTGGGTGGGTGGGTGCAGGAGGCGGCCAATTGATGTGTCTCTCTCAAATTGGTTTCTCGCCCCCCTCCACCCCGCCTCCCTTTCACTCTCTCTAGAAAGCAATGAAAACTCTGGCTGGTTTGGCTCAGCAGTTAGTGTTGGCCTGCAGACCAAAGAGTCCCAGGTTCAGTTCCGGCCAAGGGCACGTACCTCAGTTGCAGTTTGTCCCTGCCCCGATTGGGGTCATACAGGTGGCGACCAGTTGATGTTTCTCTCTCTCTCTCTCTCTCTTTCTCTATCTCTCTCCCTCCCTCCCTCCCTCCCACTCTGTCTGAAGATAAATGTAAAAATATCCTCAGGTGAGGATATGAAAAAATTAAAAATAAATAAATTTATATTAAAAATAAATAAAAATAAAACTTAATTTTAAAAAGCTGTGGTACATATACATAATGGAATACTGTGCTGCCATTAAAAGGAAACCTTACCTTTTGTGTCAGCATAGATGGACCTGAGATTATGCTAAATGAAATAAGCCAATCAGAGAAAGACAAATACCATGTGATCTTACTTATATGTGGAATCTAATAAACGAAATAAACTGATGAACAAGATAGAGATAGAGGCATGGATACATGGGACAGACTGACAGCTATCAGAGGGAAAGGGGGACTGGATGAAAGAAGGTGAACAAATTAACCAAAGAACATACATGCAAGACCCATGAACACAGACAACTGTGTGATGATGGCCAGAGGGAAAGAGAAAGTGGTGGCTGGGTGAATGTGGGTAAAGTGGGGCAGAAATGGGGACATCTGTAATAGTGTCAACAATAAGATTTTTAAAAATTAAACTACTATGGCCTTGTTTTAAGATACATCTATAATTTTATTACAAAACCATTCTTTTGGCATTAGTTGGTTACAGTGATAGCAAGATACTGTGAGTGTGGCATAGCAGCTCTAATGTAACAATTGCATTCCTTGCTTCTTGAACTGAAATTTAAGTTATCTCATATCCATTACATACAAGTTATCTGCAATCATTAATGCTGCAAATTCTGATGCATATCCCATTCAGGGAGGAGCTGATGCTAAGGGATTAGAGTAAATGTTGATAAGACTACAAAAGTTCCTTTATGGGACTTTGTTTCTTCTCCCTCCCCACAAATTACTTTGCTTTAAAAGAATCAAGTTACTTAGAGCCAGTCTGAATGGCAGCAGCACCCAAGGAACATCCTTCTTAGTTCTTGTTAAAAAAGCAATACCTGTGTAATGCATGTTTTACACCACAGGCAAAGGTAATGATCGTTCTAGTTTTAAACTCCTGCATTAGAGTCTCTTAAAAAAATAGAAGCATTCTATCAAGTTCTCCTAGGTGGTGTTATTGCTGTACATTTGCTGGTAGGTCACTTTCTGTGCTGTGTTTGCTTTGAAGGGATCTTCCAATATATTTCCAATATTCCTTTCTTATAGTGTCCTTTTCTTTAGCGAGGATTTCACATAACTAAAAATAAAAAAAAATTCATTAAAAAAATGTATAATTCAGTCTTTAGGGCAAATGTTTTTAAGCTAACAGTTTAACTCAGATTATGTTCAAATGAGATACCATCACTAGAGACACATACTATGTTCACATAGTGGCATGGGTATTGCCCTAAACAGCAGAAATAGCCATACATCGAATTTTGAATAACTGTGTTGAAAAGAGGCATAAATATTGTACTGAGCAGACCCAATTCTAAGATATCAAAACCAACAGCACTGAGTTCCACCGGCTTACCTCTAATGCTTTATTAAGAATGTCCTCCTTGTTGTCACATTGGTTTTCTAGCATATCTTCATAGATATCCACAAGAAAGGCAATTAGGTAAGGGGAACTGTGACTTGGTTGCAAATCAAGTAATTGATTTAATAGATTGGGATACTTAGAAAGACCACGATCCTGCAAAATCCTATAAAAAGATTATTCTAAATTTTGAGAAGAACAAAAATAGTAGAAAAATCAAGGGAAAAATAGCCCCCAAGACGTAAGCAAGAAAAAGAGACATATTTTTAAAGAATGAAGTTGAAACGAAATGAAAAATTTAAAGTATATGTGAGCTTTATCATAATTCAGAGCTGAGTAAAATTAGTTTAAAAGAATAATGAAGTTTAAAAGTCATCATTTATAATTCAAATTGCAACACACAAAATTAAAGCAGAAAATAAATCATCTTCTTAAAATTAAAAAGTGAAGGAAAACACAAGATAGGTGTTTCTGTTTCTTCTTGAGAGGGTTCCTTTTCCCTTTAGCCCTTATCCCTTTAGGCCCCTACTCTCAACACATCTCCCAATGTGACTGGGCTCTGTACTTTGGCTCTTTGAGATCTCTAAGTTTGAGAAGGAGCTTGGTTATGTCAGTGGCCACGCAAGTGAAACGCTGTCAATTTAACAAGTGAGACTTGTAACAGGAGATCTCTAGAAATAAATCAGAAAGACTGGCAATGCTTCTGTGCAATCTGATTGTAAACAGTCAGCCTTGCCTTACTGTGTTCCTGAGCTGAATATACACTGTGACATTCTTTGATATAAAGACTGCAGGACTGCCCTGGCCGGTTTGGCGTAGCGGTTAGAGCATCGGCCTGTGGTCCGGAGAGACCTGGGTTGGGTTCCCGCTAAGGGCACGTACCTTGGTTGCAGTTTGTCCCCGGCCCTGGTTGGTTGTGTGGGTGGCGACCACTCGATGTGTCCCTTTCACATCGATGTTTCTCTCTCCCTCTGTTCCTGAACAAAGAATGGAAAAATGTCCTCGGGTGAGGATGATAAAAAATAAATAAATAAATAAAGACTGCAGGATTAATAAACACAATTATAACTGTACTATTGTTTACTCATGGACTACTCTAAAAACTGTGATGGTGTGTGCTTCGGAGGTAAAGAGAAGGATAGAGGGCACTGCTCTTGAGTGTTACCACACTTCTGTTCTTAGAGAAAAATAGGAAATTCTTTAGTATCCTTTTGTAATCTGATTATGGAACATAGTCCATGATGCATCATATTAACAGGTTATATTTTACATAAAACAAGCAAAAACAACCTCTTACCCTTTCAAATAGTTCCATGCACTTTCATTATGTGGTACTAGTTTGATCATTTCCAGAGTGTACCTGTAAAAAAAGACCATAAATAAACATGTGTGTAATTGTAAGAGCAGTACAATATTTAGAAAGTTTCAATAAGACTGGCATAGCTTAGGTATGTGCTTTCATTTATCTCTTTTAGTGGACTTTGGTACCTCTCTAGGTCATATATAAATCTCTTCAGTCGCCCTGGCTGGTTTGGCTCAGCGGTTAGAGCATCGGTCTGCGGTCCAGAGAGACTCGGGTTTGGTTCCCGCTAAGGGCACACGTACCTCAGTTGCAGTTTGTCCCTGGCCCTGGTTGGGTCATGTGGGTGGCAACCACTAGATGTGTCTCTCTCACGTTGATGTTTCTCTCTCTCTCTCCCCCTCCCACTCTATCTGAACAAAAAATGGAAAAATGTCCTCGGGTGAGGATATAAAAAAAAAATCTCTTCAGTCTCCAGCAGTCAATTCTTATTTACATAGTTCTTCCCTACTAAATATTTATATCCAATTCTGGGGAAGAACACTTAATATGAAGGGCTCAATTCACAACAGAAAAATAAATTAATGTGGGAGATTTCCTTTAATGTAGGCTTTTAATGTAGTAAATTATGATGTGATTCCCAGTCAAAATGGACACTCCCTACTTTTCTCTTCCCCTGAACCAGATTATTATTAAATACAATTCAGATCCAATTACAAAAATGTCCAATAGCCCTGGCTGGCATGAATCAGTGGTTAGAGCATCGGCCCAAGCACTGAAGGGTTGAGGGTTCGATTCCCAGACAAAAGGCACGTACCTGGGTTGCAGGTTCAATCCCTAGCCCAGTCAGGGCTTGTTTGGCAGGCAACCAATTAATGTGTCTCTCTCACATCAATGTTTTTCTCTTTTTCTCTCTCTACCTCCCTCCCTTCCATTATCTCTCTCTAAAAAATAAAATCAAATCAATGGACAAAATATCCTTGGGAGAGGATTAACCACCACCACCAAAAATACTCCAATGAAGTTACAGAATGTTGCTTCACTATGTACCTGCTCAAATGACTAGGTCATTGACTAAAGTTTAGTAATCTTGGTTTTGTTGCAGTGCTGATATAATAGCATTTTTTTCTTCACAGAGAATAGAAATAAACTAGAATAACATTGCATCTGGGGACTATTATCCAAAATACAAAAGAATTTAATACGATAGTTTTAAAATAAAGCTTCCTTGACACTATGAAATGTGATTTCTTCTCAATCCGTAGTAGCAGCAATATTTCAAGAAAGTTAAGACATTACAAAGTAGAGGTATATTACCTACTTGTAAACTTATCATTACAGATTTCATCTAAGTATTCTGTCCTATTAGTTCCATGAGGGTAGAACTGGGGGCAGTTTTGATCTTTGCTGTATCCCCAATACCTGACATATGGTAGGCATATAAATATTCTTTTAATGAGTGAAGAAGATTACTAACTGGACTTCTCTTTCCAATATAGCACGATCACTGTAGCCAGTGGTGTTAGAAATTACGAAATATCTTTGGTTCCAGACAGAATTATTTCTCACGTCCTCTTTAAGAAGTTGGTCTACATACTGCAACTCATTATCCCAAAGTTTAAATTCCTAAAAGAAAATAAATAATAAAATATTCAATTAGAAATGTCCCACTATTTATAACCAATAAAAATTAATGAATCGAACTTCAGCAAAACTAAGTAGGCTGAACTAAAGATTTGGGACTCACATAAACAGTTGGAGAATGATAGTTGTAGGTCAAGCAAATGAAATGGGGAAAAAAAGTAATCAAAGATAAGGCATTGATCAAAAGGAACCAAAAAAATTAGGGAGAGAGAGCAGCCAAAGTGGCCTGTAATTCAGAAAGACAGAGAGAAAGAAACATTTATGTGAGAAAGGATTGTCGATCGGTTGCTTATCATATGCACTCCAACCGGGGATAGAACCCACAACCTAGTAAGTACTCTGACAGGGACTCAGGCCTGCAACCTTTTGGTGCATGGGACAATGCTTTAATCAACTGAAACACTGGCCAGGGCAAAGTTGTTTTAATTTTTTAAATTATAGAAAAAGGCTCTGGCCCGCAAGCTCAGTTGGTTAGAGCGTCACCCCGATATGTCAAGGTTGCAGGTTCAATAAATGTATAAGTAAGTGGAACAACAAATTGATGTTTCTCTCTCTCTCTCCCCTACACCTTCCTCTCTTTAAAATCAATAAATACAAAATTATAAAATATCAAAAAAAAAAAAATTATGGAGAGAAGAAAACCAATATAGACAACTTGAAAAACAGAGCAGCATGATCAAAACTTACAAATGCTGAAAAAGTCAGGGACGTTAACTACGAAAAAGATAGTGGAGTTATATTTCTTATTCGATAATAGCAAAAAATTTAAATTTCATTAAAAAAATATTAATACTGCCCTGGCCAGTGTGGCTCAATTGGTTGGGTGTCGTTCTGTGCACCAAAGGGTTGCCAGTTCAATTCCTGGTCAAAGTACATGCCCGGGTTGTGGGACTGATCCCCTGTGGAGGGAGTGCAGGAGGCAGCTGATCGATGTATCATTCTCACATCGGTGTTTCTCTCTCCCTTTCCCTTCCCCTCTCTCTAAAAATCTTTAGCCCTGGCCAGGGAGGCACAGTGGTTACAGTGTCAAACTGTGGACCAAAGGTTCGATTCCCAGTCAAGGGCATGTACCTGGGTTGCAGGTTAGATCCCTGGCCCCAGTTGGGGCATGTGCGGGAGGCAACCAATCAATGTGTTCCTCCACATCAGTGTGTCTCTCTCTCTCTCTCTCTCCCTACCCCCACACCATCCTTCCCTCCTTTTCACTCTCTCTAAAAAGCAATGGGAAAAAAATGCATATCCTCTGGAGACCATTAACAACAACAAAAAAGTCTTTAAAAATATATATAAATACTGAATACCTTTAGAAAAGGTATCCCTTTATTCAAATTTAGAAAAGTTTAAAATTTTAAGTAAAAAGTAATTTGATGAGATACTCTTGGTATACTGAATAGTACAGAAAACAGCAATTACTGGAAAAAATTTCACAAGAAACAATACTAGAATTGTTTGGTAGAATAAATTAAGTGCCCAGAGTGGGAGTCATAACTATTCTATTCTATTCAAGATTTAGCATAAAATTTTAACAAGTGGGTAGAAATACAATATATAATAGTTACTGTAAAATCATATTCCAAAGTTTACGTATGCAAAAACCTTAGTGTACTATGCCCATGTTAATTAACACAGCTGTATTAAAAAATTAGAACTACTTTTTCTATTCAATTTGTCAGCAAATATGTGATGCAAAAGTTACTATTATTATTTTTTAATATGAAGCTACTCACCAAATCCCAAGAGATTATAAAGGTTAAGCAACATGAAGAATGTCAGATAATTAAGTATCTTAATAATTGCTAATTACATGCATATTGTTTGTAATGATCTACACGTCTGTTTCAATTCAGAAGTATACTTACAATTTAATAGTAATCTTAATTATTTAATTCACTTAAAAAATAAAAATCTGGAAAACACTGTAATAAGAAAGGCAATACCTGAATAACCCACTGTCGATGTTGCCAGGCATGATAATTCTTTGCATCCTGATTAAGAATATCAGCAATAAACTCAAGTTCCTGAGATGGATCTTTCAGCCATTCCACTAATACTCGCCTATGATGCCTAAAACCGGGTGGAAAAAAGGAGAGAAGTTTTGTGCTAATTTATCCAAGAACTAAAGTATCAGCTGCATGTGCTTTGCTAATTGATGAGAAGGTACACTTAGCAAACAGAAATCAACCCTGACCAGTTTGGCTCAGCGGGTAGAGTACTGGCCCTCGGACCCAAGGGTTATGGGTTCAATTCCTAGTCAAGGGCATGTACCTGGGTTGCAGGTTCAATCCTCAGTCCCAGTCAGGATCATGCAAGAGGCAGCCAATTGGTGTGTCTCTCTCACATCAATGTTTCTCTCTCTCTCTCCCTCCCTCCCACTCTACCTAAAAATCAGTGGAAACATATCTTCAGATGAAGATTAACAAAAAAAGAAAGAAACAGAAATCATCTCTAATGCTCAAGCCTCTACTGAAGAGAAAAGGTAACAAAAGAAACTCTAAGAAAAAAATTTCAGAACACAAAGTTGAAAACATAAAACAGTGATTTGTGATTTTTGTATAAAATGAATTCATATAGTTTAATGGCTTAAAGAAGGTTTATCTCAAACTAAATCTGGAAGTATAGTAATCTTTTAACACCACAAAATTCTGTCAAAGAATTCTGAAACATTCACAGTTAGCATAATGAGACTACAGGAAATGTAATACTATTTTATCAAGTTTGGAAGCTCCTCTGGTTATAAATAGACTGTCAGTTTTCCTTAATTCCAAAGTGTCACTACACAAGCAAATAAATGCTCATTTCATTAGTTTGTGGGCAGAATTGAATTCATTTCTACTCTGGCAAGTAGCTACGTATGATAAGTTACAAATTGTCAAAAGAAAAGTTTTCCATGTTTGAAAAACTAGCTAATTACCATGTCTCCTTTTCTCAACAGCCAACCTTTATCTCCCATTTATAATTCAACCCACTATGTGCCTTCTTTTTTCCTCCTATCACTTCCCTCCTGCCCACGCAGTCACCACCCAACCCTTGGTGGGAGGACTGGTCATGCCAAGATCACTCATTGACATCCACCTAATTAACAAATCCACTGGTCATCTTCCCTTGACCTCTCAGCAGTACTGATATTGTCATCTACTCCTTTCTTAAAACTCTCTCTTCTCTTGGTTACTGTGATGACACTAACTTTCCATTTCCTTGTTCAGTCATCCTGGAACACTTCTTAAATGATAATGTTCACTGGTGTTCTTCTCAACCTTCTTCTCTAATTCTCCCTGAGCATCCTCATCCACAGCTATGGCTTCAACTCCAGATGAGCATTTTCAACCATATAATAGACCACTTTACATAGGTTTTCCATAAGCACATCAAACTCCATATATCCAATACTGAATCCACCTTTCTTCCTCAGATATGTGCTGCTTTGTCTCCCAAATTCCCCAAGTGGTTGGCACCACCATTCTCACCCAGTGGCCAAGCCAAATATACTGACATCATTGTTCTCTGTCACTCCTCCAATAAATTAAACTTCAAACCTGTAGCATCAGTCTCCAAAACCTCTCTCAAATTTATCCTTCTCTCTCCTATACCCCGCCTCCACACTCTCTCCTAGCCTATACCAGTACAGTGGCATGCCAGGACTGTGAACCTATTCCATCTATGTTCCTCCTTGTTGTCAGGATACAATTTTCTAAGACACAAATCTATTCATGTTACTTCCTTAATTAAAATTTGTCAGTAGCTCTCCACTGCCACTAAGATCAAGTCCACCCTCATCGATGTTTGTAAGGCTCTTTATGATCTTATCCTATGACTCTCAAATGCACTCTATTCACATGGAATTATACAATTCTCTGACTGCATCGTGATCTTTCATGCATCTCCCCAGAATATTTTCTTTGCCTCAGAGGTCTTTCCTCTCGGAAATCATCCTTAAATCTCTGGCATAAAGACAGGCATGTATGCTCGGGCCAATTTGGCTTAGTGGTTAGAGCGTCTACCCACAGACTGGTGGGTCATGGGTCCAATTCTGGTCAAAGGCATGTACCTGGGATGTGGGTTCGATCCCTAGCCTTGGTCAGGGTCATGTGAGAGGCAACCAATCAATGTATCTCTCTCACATCAATGTTTCTCTCTCTCCCTTCCACTCTATCTAAAAATCAACGGAAAAATATCCTCAGGTGAGGATAAAAAATGTTTAAAAAGAGGCATGTGTGTAAATCATTATATTGAAAAAAATAAAATAAAATGGTGGTAACTGCTGTATTATGAGCAGGCAGTGAGTAGCACCAATGGTGGAAAGAGTGCTTGATGGTAGACTATGTTGCTTCTACTTCACTAACTTCACCACCATGACCTCCTCTACCATCTCTTCCTCCTCCTCCTCTTCTACCACCACCACGACCATCACAATCAGCACTTCAACCTCCTCTTCTTCCCATAACCATGACTACCTCCTCTTTCTCCACCACAATAGCAGCCACAGTAACTTCCATTCATGGGGTGCTCGTATATACCAGGTACTATTTAAACCCTTTATTTTTCTCCTCTTGTTCTATTATTTCTCTCTTTTTTTCCCATTGTGTTCTGTTCCCCCCACAAATAATAATCCATACTCTTGCCTATGTTAACTTAGGGGCTTAATTTTTACAACAAATATACTCTGTGAGTAACTACCACTATGCTTTTCACAGTGAACTGTAAAATAATTGGTTTTATTATTTGTTTTTTCTTTTAGATTATATCTGGTTCACCTCTGTATCTCTAGCATCAGTATGAATATTTTGAATAAATGAATACAAGATCAAATACCCGAAAGTGATTTAACATAATGAAGAGAAACATTTCAGATTTTTTACTCAATTTTTTTTTTACTCTAGCAGTAGTATTACATGCTAATGTCAATATTTTAAATATATAGTAGCAAACATTTGAGAGTTAACTATGGTTCGGCACCACTTTAAGCACTAAACAAAATGGTCTCGTTTAATCCTCCTAACAACCCTATGTGACAGGTGACATTAGCTCCAATGCAAAGCACTAAAATGATAAAGAAACAAGTAATTGATATTCTTATCACCCACTGACAGGTACTTTCAAAACGGTGACATGTTTCCTTCCTATTTTCATCTTACCAAACTTGATAGTTTTTGGGCTGTTCTTCAATTATTGCAGTGATGTAGTTCATTTCCTCATGTAGATCCTTTTGAAGTGACTTTAAGAGAACTCTCCGGAAATGCCTAGAGCAAACATCAAGCATTCAAAGTCTCATTACTCCACTAAATTGCTTAGCCACAGTATCAAATAAAGCTACAAGACACCAACATAATAACGTTTTTTTAGTGGTTGTCTAAACTCATACAAATATCTGGTAATTAGAAGAATCATTTTCTTTTCTTTTATTTTTCTTCCAATCCCCCCAACCCCCTCCTTTGGTAAGCATCAATTCTCTGTATCTATGGATCTGTTTCTGTTTTATTTATTTCATTTCTTTTTTTTTTTAATCCTCACCTGAGGATATTTTTCTATTTATCTTCAGACAGAGTGAGAGGGAGGGAAGGAGGAAGAGAGAGAAAAACATTGATGTGAGAGAGACACATCGACTGTTTGCCTCCCACACGACCCTAACCAGGGCTGGGACGAACTGCAACCAAGGTATGTGCCCTTGATTAAAACTGAACCCACAACTCTTTGGTCCTTAGCCCGACACTCTAACCACTATGCCGAACCAGCCAGGGCTATTTCATTTTGTTTTAATTTCACATACACATAAAATCATATGTGTCTTTCTCTGTCTGATTTATTTCACTTAGCATAATACCCTCTATGTCTATCTATGTTGTCAAAAATGGCAAGATTTCTATTCTTTTTTATTGCTGCATAATATTACACTGTGTATACAAGACAGGGCAAAAGTAGGTTTACAGTTCTAATACAAATAATACAGTAATTAACAAATAATAATACAAGAGCCTGGCCAGTATGGCTTGGTTGAGTGTCGACCCATGCACCAAGAGGTCACCAGTTCGATTCCCAGTCAGGGCACATGACCACACTGTGGGCCCATCCCCAGTGGAGGGCATGCAGGAGATGGCCAATCGATCTTCTCTCTCACTGATGTATCTATCACTCTCTCTCTTCTTTCCTCTCACTAAAATCAATAAAGAAAAATATTTTACAAATAATAATAATAATAAACTGTGCTTTCTTTTTTTTTTTTGTCCTCACCCGAGGACATTTTTCGATATTTTGTTCAGATAGAGTGGGAGGGAGGAAGGGAGGGAGGGAGAGAGAGAGAGAGAGAGAGATAGAGAGAGAGAGAGAGAAACATCGATGTGAAAGGGACACATCGAGTGGTCGCCACCCACACGACCCAACCAGGGCCAGGGACAAGCTGCAACCGAGGTATGTGCCCTTAGCGGAAACCGAACCCGGGTCTCTCCAGACCGCAGGCCAATGCTCTAACCGCTGAGCCAAACTGGCCAGGGCATAAACTGTGTTTTCCATACTTACAACTGTAAGCCTACTTTTATTCCATCCTGTAATTACACTACATCTTTATACACTTACCTACTGATGGACATCTAGGTTGCTTTCATATTTTGGCTATCAACAGTAATGTTCAATGATCATAGGGGTGCATATTAGTGGTTTTGTTTTCTTTGGATAAATGCCCAGAAGTGGAATTGCTGGATCATATGGCAGCTCTATTTTTTAAATGTTTTGAAGACTCTTCATACTGCTTTCCATAAGAATCAAACATTTTGAAGTAAAAATAGCAGAAGGCAACAAATGTGAGATATAAGGCAACCAACTAATGATTATTTTCAGGTAATACTCTGGGGTTACCCGTGTTGTATTACACGAGAATCAAAGACATCTCTTTCCCTGTATGATAAACTGTTCATTTAGATAATTATTTATATAATAAATTAATTCTATTACAAACATTACCACATATTTTACTTTTAAAACCACACAAAAATGCTACTTATAAATAAAACAAGTATAAGTGGAGAGTAAACTCTATGTTCCACAGAAGGAATAACGTCTAGCCCTGGCCAGTTTGGCTCAGTGGTTAGAGCGTCGGCCTGCGGTCCAGAGAGACCCGGGTTTGATTCCCACTAAGGGCACGTACCTCGGTTGCAATTTGTCCCCAGCCCTGATTGGGTTGTGTGGGTGGCAGCCACTCGATGTGTCCCTTTTACGTCGATGTTTCTCTCTCTCTCCTTCCCACTCTATCTGAACAAAAAACGAAAAATGTCCTCGGGTGAGGATAAAAAAAAAAAAAAAAAAGAAGGAATAATGTCTAAAATGGAAAAAAGAAAAAAACCAATTATCATTTAGAATATACAATTTAATTCAAGAAAAAAATAGCTAAAAGTTACTGCCTCTAGGGAGTGGGACTTTGATAGTGAGAAGGAATGGGGCAGAGGTTGCTGTTTTTCATTCAGTCTCTGACTTCTAAACTCATATGTGAATTATTTTTATTTTGATAAAAATTAAAGTTAAGAAAAAAGCCATCCAAATAATATGTATTACTTACCATACTGTATAATTGGCTGCATTTAACTCAATAGCATCTCTGGTTAATTTAAAAGCTCGTTCACTTCTTTCATCACGCTGCAGAACAGCCCGGAAATAATCATAAACATCTCTAACTGTAAATAGCACAAAACTGCATTAGGACTATCTTTCAGGTTTAAAACTATCATTATATAAAATATTGTTTTATCTTACAAGGAAAGATACTTTATTACCTTATTTAGAATAATAAGCAAAAGAAAGTCAAATGCTTTAGTATTATGGCCACAAAGTTTCTAAAACTTGTGTCTTTTTTCACTGAACATTGTTTCTGAGATCTGTTCAGGCTGTAACAGATCTAAATCCTCTTAACAGTTATATGGCATTAAACTGTATGGCAAGGACACATTTTATTTACCCATTGTCCAAAATATGGATATAAAGGAGGGAATAGAGGTATACAGGCTCCTTTCCCAAATGACTAAATATGAAAACTACCTTTAAAAATATATGCATCTGTTAAAATGTCCTAATACCTAATATCAAAGACAGTTTTAATCTTTGCCATTTAATTCATGGGTAGAAAACAGCATTCTAATTTTTATTTGTGTATCTCTCATTCCTAATGATAACGCATTTTCCCCATTTAATGAACAATGAAATTTTCTCTTCTGTGAACTATCAGTTCATACATACCCTTTGTCCATTTTTTTGATTAGTTTATTTCCTTAACCTTTTGTAGGAATTCCTTATAGATTTCTAATTTATTAAATCTCTATTTTATATGGTATATCGTCTCCCATACTGCTATTTGCCTTTTAACTTATTCATGGTGTCTTGCTGTACACATTTAAAATTTTGATATAGTCATATCAATTTTTGATCGTTAGGTCATATTTCATTATCTTTTCTTTGTGGTTTCTAATCATAATTATGTAAGAATTTAAAATGTTGACTTTATTTTTTTTTAATCCTCTCCCAAGGATATTTTTCCATTTACCTTCAGATAGAGTGGGAAGGAGAAAGAGGCAGAGAAAGGGAGAGAAAGAGAAACATCGATGTGAGTGGGACACATCGACTGGTCACCTCCCTCATGACCCCGACCAGGGCCCAAGGGCCGGAGACAAACTGCAACTGAGGTACGTGCCCTTGACCAGAATCGAACCCATGAATCATTGGTCTGAGGGTCGATGCTCTACCACTGAGCCAAACTGGCCAGGGCTAAAGTGTTGATTTTTTTTACCCTGTAAAAAAAGATATTATTATTTTTAACCCTAAGAGAAATGTATGATTGTATCAGTTTTCTCCAACATCTTTGTTATTAGGTACCTTATGAATCTGAAAAAATTGTGGTTTTCATTTCTGTGACCATTAGTGAGGTTAACATCTTTTTGTAGATATTTGTATTTCTTCTAGTGATATATCTTCACATATAACATCTCTCACAGTGTGAAAGTTATGCATTTTTATTCAGTTACAGCTTCTGATCTTTTCCTTACTCAATTCTGAGTGTTATAATCTTGCTTACTAATACCTTCTTCACCCCAAGAATGAAAAATAATTCTCTAATATTTGCTCCTTGTATGTGTATAATTTTGTTCTGGAACTTTAACTCATCTGAAATTTATTTTCATGTAAGATGAAATAGAGATATAATTTTGCTTATATCGAAATTCAGAGCACACTGTTATAAAACCGTTATTTGATTAACCCATCTTTTTCATGATATGAGATGTCCTTTTTACCAAATGCTAAGTTCCCATTTATACTGATGGTGTATTTTTAGATTCCTTATTAATCTATTTATTCCTGTTCTAGTTCCACGTTATTTTTAGCAATACGTTTTCATATTTGGTAAGGCAAACCCTCACATCATTATTCTTCCTTTTCAAACATTTCTTGGCATTACTTCATAATAAAAAAAAAATTAAAAAAACAGAAAACAATGCCTTTTGTAACAGAAAAATGATCTTGGATAACAAAGCCTTAACTGAAAGACATATATATATTTATACACACACACACACACACACACATAAAACTACAGAACTAGCATTCCATTTTATTCATTTAATTTTCCTAGAACAACTAACAATTAGCATTTGGAGGACTTTCAAAGTACAAAGCATTTTCACATTCATTATGAAAGAATGATACTTTGTCAAAGAAAATAATTCACTCATTTTAATATCATTAAATATATCTCAACTGAGCCTAAAACTCATTACTAAAATATATTTCAAAATGCTCATGTTTCATCAAAGTTTTTTCTAAATAAAATAGTAATTCACTTATGTTGTAGATTAAATAATAAATAAAAAACATAATCACACAGTAGCTATTATGTATTATAATGTAACATTCATAACTTAGAATATGTCCACTCTTCGGACAAAATAAAACACTTAATCATGAAAATAAATTACAAAAACCATAATGTTAGCTTATCATAGTCATTTAGATCTTTATTAGATACAAAACCTGTCATCTACCTAGCCATATGGTTGTGAATTTTAATTCTGCTACTAAGTTTGACTTATAGACCTTTTCCTAATAAAAATAAACTTACATTTTTCACTATAAATGATCTGGACCACTGGATTGGGGCCATCATTCTGTGGCACTGGATCTATATCAGCCCATTCCGCTCTGTCTCTGAAATATATATATTTTTTCAGTGATTATATTCAAACATGTAAGAAGAAAAAGAACTCTGGTGCTTTTTAAAATGACAACAATTACACTTACATTAATACTAGTAGTTTTTTAAAAAAAATATATTTTTATTGATTTTTTTAGAGAGGGAGAGAGAGAGAGAGAAACATCAATGTGAGAGACATTGTGTGACCTTGAAAAAGTTACTTAACCTCTCTGGGCCTCAGTTTCTTCATTTATAAACTGTAGATGATAATACGGCCAACCAAATGTAGAAGGCTGTTTGAAGGCTTAAGTGAGATAACGTGCCAAGCACTTAAAATCTGCATAATAGGCCTGGCTGGTTGAGCCTATACCCATGCACCAAGAAGTCACAGGTTTTACTCCTAGTCAGGGCACATGTGGGCGTTGTGGGCCTGATCCCCAGCAGGGGGCATGTAGGAGGTGGCTAATTGATGTTCTCTCTAATCGATGTTTCTCTCTCTCCATCTCCCTTTATCTCTCTCTAAAATCAATAAAGAATACTCCTCACCGGAGGATAGTTTTCCATTTTTCTTCAGATAGAGTGGGATGGGGTGGGGAGAGAGTGGGAGAAAGAAAGAAAAATCGATACGAGAGGGACATATCAACTGGTTGCCTCCCGCACAACCCGACTAGGGCCAGGGACAAACTGCAACTGAGGTACATGCCCTTGATCGGAACTGAATCTGTAACTCATTGGTCCGTGGGCTGATGCTCCAACCACAGAGCCAAACTGGCCAGGGTAAGGAAAAAATATTTTTTTTAAATTTGCATAATAGTAAGAATATAGTATCTAGTAAATATACTATGTAATGTTCTTACACTTAAATATCTATATGCTATGTTACAAATACAGCATGTAGCATAGAATAAATAAATGTAGTAAGCATTCAAGAACTACTCTCATTACCAATGCTAAAACAGTGGCAACCGTGGTGCCTACAGACATTTTTGTGTGAACTCCCAGTGTGAACAAATTTGTTTTCACCACTCTTTTACTATATTCTTTTCCTTTCACCCATTTTTTTTTTAATCCTCACCCGAGGACATTTTTCCATTTTTTGTTCAGATAGAGTGGGAGGGAAGGAGGGAGAGAGAAACATCAACGTGAAAGAGACACATCTAGTGATTGCCACCCACACGGGGACAAACTGCAACCGAGGTACATGCCCTCAGTGGGAACCAAACCCGGGTCTCTCAACCGCAGGCCAATGCTCTAACCGCTGAGCCAAACCGGCCAGGGCCTTTCACCCATTTTTTAGTTATCTGTATTGTTCAGCTATTGACAACAAAGATTCTGTAGCATCCACACAATCCTGAAATTGTGTTCACTGGGAAATACCAGGGAAACAATTGTCTGAGGTGTGGGACCTAGAGCCTGGGGAGTGGCGTGAGAAAGGTAAGGCTGGGAAATCAGATACAGCCAAGTGAATAAGCTGACTATTTCACAATTCCGAGGGTTATGGGGCCACCCCAACCAATTTAAAACAATAAAACATTAACAATAAAACAGTGACAAAATCTGGATCGTGACTTTCACTCATTCATAAAAACAAGGCAAATACGCGATTTCATGGGTTTACCTAAAACTACAGGAGAAAAAAATAAGACAAAAAAACAAGACACAAGGACTTCTCACTTGTCTCTGCAGGTTCAACTGGAGCTGGGGAACAAGCGGTATTATAAGAAAACAAAGAGCTGATGGAGATGGGACTGGGTGTTGGCCAAGATACCGAGAAGAGGCAAGGGAGTTCCAGCAACACCCAAACTGCCTATTCCACACCACTCGTTTTGCGTAGACGACGCAGGAATGTTTATGAGAGGTCAAGACCTTCCCATCCTTATAGCCTAAGTAGGTGCCTGGCTCATCGCTAAAATGTTGAATGGAAATGTCCCAGTCCTTAAGGACCTTATACTAGCTCTCCCCATTTCGGCAGAACAAACCATGGGAAGCCCTTACACCTTGTTTTTAAAGTGAACAAAACCGTAACTTCTTTAAATCATTACTTCCTGTCAGACTATCAAATTGAACACAAATGCTCTGGTGTACAGATTAGATTCAGGCTATCTTGGTGGGAGCACGGCACAGGGCGGGAGACTTCTTAAATCCCTGAGCCAGGACACCCACACAGGCTGCGAGAGCGCTGTCCAGTGTGCGGTAGTCCAGTCCCTGCGCTGCCTGTGATCTGGCTCCCCGGTGCCTCGGTGACAGCGTCTGCCCCGGGGCGGCGCGAGGGCCGCGGGCGCGCCCCGACCCCGCCGAGCGCGCCCCACACCGGTCGGCAGCGAGGCCGCGGAAACTTCGGCTGGACACGCGGAGGCAGCCGGGGCCGACCCGGAACCGCCGCCCAGGTGAAGCCCCCGCCCTCCGGGGAAGGGCCTCCGACCCGCGGGTCCCGCTGTGGGCGTTACCTGTACAGAACGTAAGTCGGGGAGTCCAGGCTCAGGAACCCGTCGTCCATCGGGGATGCCACCGTTTCTCCGGCCTCGGCCGCCATCATTTCTTCTTGCTGCTGCTGGGGCGGCGGGGGGTGCGGCTGGGGCGGTGGCGGCTCCGGCTGACTGGGCTCACTGCCCTGCGTAGCCTCCCCGACCCCCTCAGTAGCCGCCATCTCGCAGCGGTCCGCGGCGGAGTTGGCGCCGGAGGCTCCGCCCTCCACGGCCCCGCCCCCTCGCTTTCTTCCCTCCAGGAGCCCTACTTCCGGTTTCTTGGCTTTTTTTCCCCTACCATAGAGATGCGGGCCAGAGAGTCCCGGGCTGGTGCCCTAGCCCTGACTGACCTAGATGGGTGCCGGTCTGTGGGCCAACCGCGTCATTCTCCCCAGGGGCTCCGGATTTCCCTTGCGTCATGCCATCTGTAGGCAGTCCCAGGTGCTTGTAGTTGGCCGTGGGGAATGTGCTAGAGTGTTAGATCCCCTCAGTAGGGGAATGGCTCTCCTTCCTTTTGTTCGGAGTCTTAGGAGCCGTGCATCCTACCGTTCAAGACCCAGCCCAACCCCACCCCTTCCATGGGCCTTTATGTTCCTTAGACACTCCCCCCACTTCATGCAGAGTTTATATGGCAGAATTTAAATAAGTTCTTTTGAAATTAAAGTTCTGCTATACAAGTAATATGTGTATGAATTATAGGAAAGGGAAGCATTTACCAACTATTTACTACTTATGTGGTAGGGTTGCTCATGGCAGTAAATAAAGTCTCTGTGGTCATAGAGTTTACATTTTGGTGAAGGGTACCGATGTGTACAACTTAATATATGTCTGTAGGTGTTCAGGGTGTGACACTCCAAAATAAACTGCTTTAGCATATTATTTTGAGCTGTAGGCACTTGCAAAACCTCAAATTCATGGACAAGCTTTCTCTATCTGCCTAAAGACAGATCTTCCATGAGGAACTCAATTGTCATAAATACTCAGTCTAGGAGTTTAGAGAGTAGAAGTGGACACCACATTCAGACAAACTTACAAATTATCATATCTCCTAACAATTCTCCTAAGGACTCATTCATCTTTCCTAAAACTCATTTACTTGCCCCTAAGAGGCCTACATCATATCTCTCCTCTTTCCTATTAAAATGGTATTTAAGCCTGAATTCTAAGCAACCTCAGGGAATTACTAATTTTTTCCTCAGTCTCTCCCAGGTACACATGAAATATACATGTTAATAAAAGGTCTGAGCCTGCAGGAGATCACATGCACAACACAAGGCCAATGCAGAGCAAAATGGCTTTATTGCATGCGTCTGGGTGCAGGCAGGCTGAGCCGAAAAGGGGTCAGCCTCAAATCACAGTTGGGGTGTAGGTTATATACTCTACTTTTAGCTTCCGGCAGTTCCTGCTGATGTGCTCTGCCTGGCCCATTGTCCTCTTTGCAGTTGGACTGGTCTGGTATCTCGTCCTGCATCTGCTGGGTGATTCATTGCCTTGCAGATAACCTGATATCCTTGCTAATTGGCTAGAGGATAACCTCACTCAACAGAAGGCTGAGCAAAGATTATGCAAGCAACACATTTTTTCAGTTTCCACCTTTTGCAAGCTTTTACCTTTACCCTTTAAAGCGCTACTAACGCTTTCAGTTAATAAACCTGTTTTTCTCTTGTCAATCTTTTATTACAGGGGACTATACTCAGAAGTAGAAGAAAAGTTATTTTTCACCTTCTACAGTAGTTAGGAAGGCCTTTGTGGGAATTATGTGAGCAGAGACCCAAGAGATGAAAGAAAATGCATGCCAGGTAGAGAGAACAGGAAGTGCATGTTTAGAGTGTTCTTGGTTCAGCAAGAATGCCAAGAACTGGAACACTATGGTTAATAACCATTATTGTATTTTGACTCTGTGAATTTGATGATGCTGAGTATCTCATAGAAATGGAATCATCCTGTGTTTGTCCTTTTGTAACTGGTTTATTTCATTCAGCATAATGCCCTCCAGGTTCATCCATGTTGTAGCATGTCAGAATTTCTGTTTATTTTAAGGCTAAATAATATTCCATTGAATAAATAGCCCACATTTGTTTATCCACTCATCTGATAATGGAAACTTTGGTTGTGATTCACCCTCAAGAGGAGGGCATGAACACCAGAAGTGAGATTATCAGGGGCCATTTAGATACTGCCTACCACAGCTTACAATAAGAATCTTCTCTTATCCTTGTTTTTCTTCTGTACATAGTGTCTTTTTACTCTAATTGACTTTAATATTACTACTGGTTTTAAGCAATTTGGTTTGGTACGCATTATGAATTTTTCTTAACATTTCTTGTGCATGGGGGTCATTGAGCTTCATGGATCTGTAGGTTTACAGTTTTCGCCCAATTTATAAAAATTGCAGCCTTTGTTTCTTCAAATACTTTTCTATCTCCCTGATCTTCTCCTTTGGAAACTCCAGTTACACACATATTATTGAGCTGACGACCACAATTCACACTGATGCTCTGTAATTTCTTTTCGGTTATTTTTCTCCCCTCTGTTTCATTTTAGGTAGTTTCTTTTTTTTATTTTTTTATCCTCACCTGAGGATATTTTTGCATTTATCTTCAGATAAAGCGGGTGGGAAAGAGGGAGGAAGAGAGAGAGAGAAACATCAATGTGAGAGGGACACATCGACTGGTTGCCACTCACACAACCCCAACCGGGGTGGGGACAAACTGCAACCGAGGTACATGCCCTTAGCCGGAACCAAACCCGGGACTCTCTGGTCCGTGGGCTGATGCTCTAACCACTGAGAAAACTGGCCAGGGCACATTTTAGGTAGTTTCTATTGCTATGTCTTAAAATGCACTAATCTGTTCTTATGTAATGTCTAATCTGGACTTTGGCTAGGAAAATGTATACTACACATTCATTCATATTTTTGACAATTTCCTTAAAATGTAGTCTCCCAAAGTAACTACCAGAGTAGGGGGTAGAAACATTTTATAGTTCATGTCACATACAAAAAAGTACTACTGTATTTGTGGCTTCAAACTTTGACCAGAGTTCTAGGCAGTATCTACCAGAGGTTTTATTCACACTACAGTTACATTCCTGATTGTTCTGCACTGCTGTTCATGTACTTGCACAGTCATTAGAAAATGGGGAAAGATTTTTACTTCTGAAGTATTAACAACGAATGGCATCAGATATTCTATTGAAGTTAGAGCTCAGTCCTTGAGTTTGCTTAAGAAAGAATTCAGCCCTGGCCAGTTTGGCTAGGCAGTTAAGAGTGTCGGCCTGTGGACCAGAGTTGAGGGTTTGATTCCGGTCAAAGGCACATGCCTCAGTTGCTGTTTTTTGTTTTTTATTTTTTTCCTTTATTAATTTTAGAGAGAGAGGAAATGAGAGGGAGAGATAGAAACATCTATGAGAGAGAACATCGACTGACCACCTCCTGCATGCCCCCCACTGGGGATCTGGCCCACAACCTGGGCATGTGTCCTGACCGGGAATCGAACCAGCGACCTCTTGGTGCATGGGTCAACACTCAAACCACTGAGCCACACTCAGTTGCTGTTTAATCCCCAGCCCTGGTCAGGTTTGTGCAGGAGGCGGCCAGTCGATGTCTCTCTCTCACATCAATGTTTCTCTCTCCCACTCTATCTGAAGATTAATGGAAAAATATTTTCGGATGAGGATTAAAAAAAGAAAGAATTCAGAGCCAAGAACTCAGATACATGCTAAAGTTTATTTAGTAAGTCATAGAAGTAGAAATGAGCTGTAAAAGAATTGAGCCAGCTAGGCTGCGTGGACTCAGGAAACAAGTTACAGAGGCAAAAGAAGGGCCCTTGTTGCTTAGGAGAAAGCAAGCAAAGGTTCAAGCCTTGAGAGAAGAAAGGGGGAAGGTTCAGGGTGTGATGGAGAGAGAGAGAGCAGTGCCTGAAGGAAGAAGGTGGTGGGAAAGGCAGGGGTGTGCTAGAGATAGGGGTAGGGGAGGGCAGGAGGGAGAGAGAGAGAGAACACATGAGCTGGGTCCTTCATCTTGAGGCTTTAACCAAAGGCAGAGATTTTAGCGGTGATTTCAGGGGAGGATCCAATAGCATATTCATCAGCTTTCCATGTGTGTCCTTTCAGGGTCATGATTTCTGATTAGTCGGCACTAGGGGAAAGGGTCATTAGTCATTGCAGCTGATCCTGATGTTAGCCATGGCATTGCTTTGTCACAGCAGAGGCCTAGATGTTAACTCTAGTTGACCAAAATGCCGCCTCTGGGGTCAATAGACCCAATAATTTATTCCTAAAATTATTTGATATGGGCCAGAACCTCATTGTCCTGAGGACTTAATGATTAAGGGAGTGGTTATTCAAGGCTTGTATGGGAGTTGGATGAGGCTATTCTCCAGCCCCCTTGTTACTCTTCTAAGGGAGTCTACCACATGACTAGCAACATGCCAGCGGAGGGTACATACCACATGACCAGCGGTAAGAAAGGTCAGGGGAATCTAAAGTACATGACCAGCGATATGCAAGGGGAGGAAAGGTCCCCCTGGGGGTGAGGTCCCACCCTACAATACTTGTTTTCCCCATTGCATCCAGGGCTTTCCACCCTGGTGACCTTCTGTACCTGGCTTGCGGCTCCTACTCTGCTTATGTCTAACTGCTTGCTATATCAAGATCTTCACAGCAGAAATCTTCCTTCTCTTTGAGTCCAGAAGGGTAGCTGGTGGTGACATGGTCATTCCTCCACTGAGAAGTGAAGTGTATGCAGTCAGACCCTTGAACCTGATCTTGTCTGTGACAATTTTGACAAATAAGAGAAGTGATGATGCCCTGGCTGGTTTGGCTCGGCAGTTAGAGCATCGGTTTTCGGACCAAAGGGTCTTAGGTTTGATTCGTCAAGGGAATGTATGCCTGGGTTGCGGGTTCGATCCTTGGCCCTGGTTGGGGTTGTGTAGGAGGCAACCAGTCAATGTGTCTCTCTCACATCAATGTTTCTCTCTCTCCCTTCCACTTTCTCTACAAATCAATGAAAATAGATTCTTGGGTGAGGATTAACAAGAGAGAAACAGCGACGTGAAAGGGACACATTGAGTGACTGCCACCCGCACGACCCAACCAGGGCCAGGGACAAACTGCAACCGAGGTATGTGCCCTTAGCGGAAACTGAACCCAGGTCTCTCTGGACCACAGGCCGACGCTCTAGCCACTTAGCCAAACCGGCCAGGGCTAAAA